CCAGGGGGATGGCCACACCGCAATCCCTTCTCCTCCATTCTCCTCTCGGGATCTTGGGCACACACGCACATGTGCCCGGCGTGAGTTTTAAGCCACCAGGTCCCGGACTCGAACTGCGGTTGACTACATAAGAGTCCAGCGACATAGCCATTACGCTAACTGCTGGTCCGAAGTTATTATAATTCTTTTAAAAAGTCTCGGGGGGTAGCCGCAGCCTCCCTGCAGATGGGGAGTGTCCATTAGCTTCCATGTCGCGCTCTGGGTCAGCAGAACTGTCTGCACCATTGTCTTCCTCTTCCAGTTCCAGGCATCCGTGCTGCTCTCAGCACCCCCGAGAACCGGACAGCAGATGCCGGGACTGTGCTGCGTGGCACATGGCCGCAGACCAGGCCGCTCCGTCTGCATTTCCCTGCTTACCGCTTTCCTTCCACTCACTTCTCTTCCAGGCTCTTGCATCAGACTTGACCTTCCAACCTAGGAAATTCTCCATTGTCGGGCGTGCCATGAAATCACCACGCTCGCCTCCTGCATCCTCTGGCCTCGTGTCTCATCTCGCTCCCTTCTGGTCGGCTGACACCACGGTGAGGGTGAGGGTCGATGGTTCGCCGCCCCCGGGGGTTCTGCCCATCACGCTCGTAATTGTGAGACGTCTGAGCCGTCCCTGTCTTTTAGGTTCACCTGGGAGAATCTTTCATGTAAGAGGCTTCGTCTGGGTATCTTTCACTGTATGGAAACTTGAGCAGGATCTCGACAGTTTCATCATTGTCCTCAGTCTCGGATGTTACAATAACGGTGAAGCTGAGTGACGGTGCCGGAGAACTGTGCTCTCAAGCTCATCGTTCGCCCCTCAGCCTCCTCACAGCGGTGGTTCTGCTGGGGAGAGCACGCCAGGCCTGGAGCCGGGCAGGTGGGCCCAGAGCCTCGTGCGTGATGCTAGAATCTGTCACCGTGGCCACTGCCCGTGAGTGGCCCAGACACCGTGGTTCACTGAAGTGGGACGGCAGCATAACATGGAGTCCCAGGCTGGGAGACTCGGGGCTCAAAGCCAGCAGAGCCTGTGGCCCTGGGTCACCTCTACCTGTTCCCTAGTTCCACATTTAATCCGCTTCATGTTTTTCCTTTTTATAATTTTGCTATAGGGCATGTATGCTCACTGGAGAGACAGAGACAGGGAGAGAGAGGAGAGAGGGAAAGTCCAGTCACTGCCCCCAGGGGGATGGCCATGCCGCAATTTCTTCTCCACCCTCCCCTCGGGATTTGGGGTATGCAAACACACACACCTGGCATGTTCAAGCCCCTGGGTCTGAAATAAGGACCATGCAGTCAGCCGTGTGGGATCCAGCCTCCTTCATCACGCCACTAGCTGGCCCAGAATTCTCTTTTAAAGAAAGTAGCTTATTGCTCTGTGCGCTTGCGTGTACAGAGCAGGAGGGTGGAGCGGAGTCGTGAGGTATGAATAGAGAGCCTTATCCTGCTAAGAATAAACTCCTCCAGCCTCTGCCTTTTGTTTCATTGACTGCAAAGAGAAGCAGACTTAGTTTGCCAGATACAAATCGGCGACTCTGATGGAACCATCAGTAGGAATACCACTGGAAACTCTGTGCTCCTGGAACCAGCTTAGTTCCAGGGACTTTCTGGGAACTCGCTGGTGAGATCTGCTACCAGTTCCAGCTGGAGTAAGAATGGATTTGGGAGTATATTGGCTTAGTTTTGGAGGAAAATAACCGGATGCAAGATGGAAATAGGAAGTCTTCAGAGGCTGTTATTTGTGTACCTGTAATGAACTCAGCATTTGTGCCAGAGCCCCTCAGGCCAGCAACAGAAAGGTCTCAAGCATTTTAGACGTCCAGCAGTACCTATTTCATCTTGGGGATCAGGTCCAGCTCAGCAGTTTTAAGAGAAATGGAAAGGACCATATGACGTGTTGCTACCTTCGTCTTCAGCCTTGAACTCAGCAGTAATCGAGCCATGGGAACATCACACCTAAGTAAGGCCTTGCCCACCCAGGATGGAGGAAAGAATTGCTCAGCTCATGGGCCATCAGGCATATAATAAACCTCTATGGTACCTTTCTAAGCAGAAGCCTGCTGGCTCCTGTTAATAATGACATTGATGTTCAGCCAATGAGTAACTTGGGAAAGTAATGCCTTAGTCAAAATTTCCCGATATAAAGCATCTTCAGCCCACTTGAGAGTGCTGGATGTGTCATCTGAAGCCATAGCCTGGATTGAGCAACAGCAATCCTCTGGTTTTACCTGCCACTAACTTCCTAAGTGCTTCGTTGTTCTGAGAGGATGCATCCCAACACCTACCATTCATTGTTTTACTTGCTATTTGCAAAAGGGAGTGTACTTTCAAGTACAAGTGGCATCTATCCCAAACCTAGGACCACCATTCTGCTTCACTCTACCAATGGAAATAGATAACACATTCTTTCAGGCACAAAGATATACTTAAAGGTATAGGGAAACTGTTGACTGCTGACTTACTAATATTTAGGTACCTTATATTCAAAGGATGCTTGTACTGTGTTCTGAATATATTACAGTTCATGAGCCAGTTGTCCTATAAAGCCACAAGTGATTGTGGAGAGGCCATTTAGCTTTATAATCATAAAATGCGACCTGATAGAAATCACGATTGAATCTGACAGGATTGAAGCAAGTCCGCTTGAGGTTTAGTAGGACTGCAGCCATTTTGAAATTAATAAAGGCCTCTGAGGAGAACAATCTATCCAAATGCTGAGTCATGGGGAGGTCTACTTGAGGAATGTCAGGTGAGAAATCAAGAATGGGTGTTTGAAGGAAAACAGGAATCAGGATAATTGCTCAAAGGAAAGTAATTGACTTTGATTGATTGTGGTGAGGAATGATTGGCAAGTGCTTGCATCTTGTATCTATAAATACTAAGCACATGTGTGCTTTCTGACTGTCTCCCTGTAATCTGGTTACAGAATAAATTCCCTGACTGTCTCCCTGTAATCTGGTTAGGTAAAAAAAAAATTCCCTTCTTCTCAAAAAAAAAAAAAAAAAAAAAAGTAACTTATTGGGGCTGGCAAGTGGCATAGTGGTTGGGGTGCTGGACTCCCACATGGCTGATAATGATTCGAGTCCTGGACCTGGCAGTTGCTCCCTCACTCCCCCTCCTTCTCTCTCTGTCTCTCTGGTCAAACTGAATAATAAAAATAGTAATTAATAAAATTAAATAATTCTTTTTTTTCTAGGAGAGGTTTTTGCTATAGGGCACATGCACTCCCCAGAAAGACAGAGAGAGACAGACAAAAAGCGAAAAATCACCCCCCAGGGGGGATGGCCACACTGCAATCCCTTCTCCTTCATTCTCCTCTCGGGATCTCGGGCACACATGCACACGCGCCCAGCCTGAGTTTAAGCCATTGGGTCCAGGACTTGAACCATGGTTGACTACATGGGAGTTCAGCGACATAGCCATTACGCCAACTGCTGGTCCTTAAATAATTTTTTTTTATAAAGAAAGTAACTTAACAAGGGGAAGTTCACGTAATATAAAATCAATCACCTGAACAGGCTCTTGGTGGCTTTCCCACATTCCAGTTGTTACGACAATCAGGTCTCGGTAGGCGGGCCTCCCCTTCCCTGGCCCCCAGCAATCTGGTTCTGTCCCTGTGGACTTTTCTGTTCTGGGTATTCTTTTCTTTTTTAGACAGGGTCTGGCTGTCACAAACCTGACTCTGCCTCCTGAGTTGCCAAGTGACAGGTGTGACCCACCCCTGGGGAATGGCTAGACTGGGGATTGAACCTGGGCCTCCCCTGTGGGCCGGCCTTGCAGAGCAGTCTTAGCAGGCACGCCTCTGCGCCTGGGCTTGTCTGGCTTTCACTGAGCATGATGCTTGGCAGGTTTATTGGCCTTGTCACAGGTGTCAGGCTTCACCCCTCTTTGCGCCCACACCATGTGCATTATATGACCGTCCCCCTGCTTCCACTCATTCACCTGGCGGGCACTTGTGCTGTTTCTTCTCGGCTATCACGAATCCTTGCTATGAACACGGTGTACAGGTTTTCTGGACATTTTTAAAAAGAATTATTCATTTTATTCTTTCATTCCTCTTTAAAAAGAGATTTATTATTTGTTATCATTATTTTTGAGTCTGACCAGAGAAAGTGAGAAGGCAAGTGGCCAAGTCTGGGACTCGAACTGTGGTCAGCCATGTGGGAAAGTCCAGCGCCTTAACCACCACGCCAACAGCAGGTCCCTTTCTGGAAATTTTCATGCTTCCCGGTACAGGCCTGGGAATCAAAGTGCCGAGTCACGTGATCACCATGGCTCACGTTCTGAGAAACCTCCAAACTGTTTTCCAAAGTGGCTGTACCCCTTCCACCACTGATGTGCGAGACTTTCTTTCTCCACCTCCTTTACTGTCTTCTAAAAACTGGAGTCATCTGAGACCAGCAGATGGTATAATGGTTATGTCGCTGGACTCCCGTGTAGTGGACCGTGGCTCAACTCCCGGACCCAGTGGCTTACAAGTCACAGTGGGCGCCTGTGCATGCATGCCCAAGACACTGAGAGGAGAATGGAGAAGGGATTGCAGCATGCGCCCCAGGCACCCTCAGCCCTGGTCACAGGAGGCCACCCTTGTGCTCCTCCCATACCTGGACTTTCCCTTGTCTCCAGGCCTCTGCGGAGCCCTGAGGGTACGTGGGGTTTGAGACCAGATGTCTCAGAGCATCCTGAGCCGTTGTCTGCCCAGGGCTGGTGTGGAGGAGCAGGACGGGAGGGGAACCTGAATGAGGATGAGGGCCCTTTTTGAGGGTGGTGACATGCACAGAGCCCTGGTCCTTGGGGGGCTCAGAGCCTCAGGAGCAAGAACACTCAGGGAGGCCATGCAGTGTGCTGGGAGGCACTGGAAAGCCTGGAGGGCAGTATGGACCATTTAGAGGATGGGGGTGTGGTGTGGACACACCAAGGCCTGGCACCTGCTGACCCCAGGGGCCCACAGACAGCAGCAGACGACACAGAGGTCCTAGACCTCAGTCACAAGCTTTATTGTCCCGAGCACGGACTTGCCACACTTCAACAATTCCACTGGGGAGAGGGGACGGGGTGGGCTAGGGGGAGGCATGGCGGAGACACACCTGGGTGGCCACACGGGGCAGGCTGAGAGGCCCACGAAGGCAGGTGCCCACAGGGAAATCGCTGCTGGGACACCTGCCACCACGGCCCCACCCTGCTGCCCAGCTGTGGGCCTTTGGCTGTTAGTAGGTAACTGCCTGCTGTGGGCGGGCGGAGCTGCCTGGTCTTGCTGGGAAGAGTGGTATTTGGCTCTGGGTTAGGCCACTAAAGCAGCGCTTCTAGACTGCTGTTAATAAAACCACATGCGAGTGCTACCGAAAGCCACCGGGGAGCGGCAGGGGCGGCCAGGACTAACTTGCACCCGGGGAACAGCTGCATTTAGGCGAGAACAGGAGCGCCACCTAGTGGTGCCTGGCAGTGCTCACAGAGGTCACTGGGGCTGTTTCTCTGAACTAATCACCTGTCCTGTGCACTTGGGAAGACCAGGCCTCTCCTCTCATGCCCCTGCAGGGGAGGTCCTGCACGAAAACCCTCCCAAGCTGTGAGCTGAGGGTGGGGCTGGGCCCCTGAGCTGCTGCTGAAGTCCACCATGGCAGGTGGCCTCATTCCCTCCAGCCCAGGAGAGAGGGCTGCTGGCCAACACCAAACTGGCCTCTCCCACCAAACGTGGCTGAGGTTAACTCAGCAGAGGAGAAAGGAAGACAGGGCTCGGAGAGCTCTGTGCAGGCACCTGGCAGAACTGAGGGGCTGTAGGTGTGTGTGTGTTCCGATGAGTGTGCGAGACACACACATCCCTGAACGCCTGCACGTAGCTGGGTGTGTGTGTGCACATCTAGCTGCTGGAACGTTTGCAGTGTCTGCAGCACGGCCCTGCAGGCCTGGGCTCAGCCCTGGAACCCAAGCACGCCCCATCCACTTGACCATGTGTGCACACGGTCCCTCTGTGTGTCAACAGGGCGTGCACGTCAGGGCCAGCATGGGGAACCTGCAGGTGGGAGGCCTGGTTCTGGACCAGCTAGCCAGCCTAGGAGACACTGTATCTCTGACTAGCCAACACACACCTGGAGCCCTTGCTCGGCTCCCCTGCAGCCCCGTCCCCAGCTCCAAGCCAGGGCGTGCCCAAGGCTGCGGTGGGAGTGAGGAGGGGGCTTCCAAACATCCCTAATACTGTAGCTCTCGGCCTTGGTGAACACCTCAGGCCATAGGCTGGGGTGTGTGTGAGCATGTTGATCTTGGTGGGGGCAGGACCCTGGCCCACCAACCCCTTGGACCCAGGGCCTCGCTGGGCAGACAGGCTGAGGGGACCGTATGACTGTCTGAAGGAGGCTCGGTGCGTGGGGACGAGAAGCTCGGGACTGCTTTGACCTGGAAGTGGTCATGGGAAGGCGCCCCACCTGGCTCCTGAAGACGGGACTTCCCTCCTTGGTACCTGCAAGGAGAAGCTGGGCTCCCCTGTGGCCCCGCTGGGGGGAGAGGAGAAAGGAGGGTGAGGAGCTGCCCGGGTGCCGAGATGGTCCATGGGCAGCTTATTCTGGGAAAGGGCCTGGTCAGATCACTTCTGCCTCCCAAGCAAACTCTGGAAGCTGCCGGCGTCCAGGCTGCAGGTCCGGGGGCCAGGCCCGGCTGTACCGCTGTCTGTGGAAGGCCGTGACGGACGAAGCCTCCTGGGCCGGCAGAGGGTTCAGGGTGGGGGATTGTCCGCGGCGGTGAGGACGTTATTGTTACAAACACTGTCTGGTCTCCAAAGTGACAGTCCTGGCCCCCGCCTGGAGGGGGGTGCCGCCGGGCAGCCCGGCGGGGTTCTGGAATGGACTGGGCCGCTCCACGGTGTTGCTCAGGGTCAGTGCTTGTCCTAGAGAGAGCAAGGGCTTGATCAGCAAGTGTGTGCAGGAGCCTCGAGGGACAGGTGGGTGGCGGGGAAGGAGAGCGTGTCGGGCAGGCCCGCACAGGGGACGCCTCACTGTGTGACTGGGGCACGAGTGGGAGATGATAAACTGAAAGGAAGGGGCAAGTGCAGATGGGCTTTACAACGAGCCCCCAAGCGGGCCAGCAGGTGGTATGGAGGTTAAGGCACTTGGATCCCACATGGCCAACTCGGTGGTTCGAGACCCAGTGGCTCAAATCTCATGGCAGGTGTGAGTGCGTGCCCAAAATCCCGAGAGGAGAGAGGAGGAGAAGGGATTGCAGGTGGCCATCTCCCCTGGGGGATGATTTCTCACTTTCAGTCTCTGGTGAGTGCACGCACCCTATAGCAAAACTAAAAATCAATAATAAATAAATTAAATTAAAAAGAAGAGAATCCAAGTCTGCAGGGAGCCCGGATCACAGGGCACGCAAACAGGAGACCCTGTGCCTCCCTGTCACATGTGTAACTGGGCGGACCCCGGGTGCCTCACAGCGGCGCTGGGAGGACAAAGCCACAAGAGGCAGAGACTTCAGCTGCCGGGGGCCCCAGCCAGGGCCTCTGCCCTTTCTCAGGCTGTCCAGGCCCCTACCTCCTGGGGCCGCCACTGGCCTGGCCCTTGGCAGTTGTAGTGAGCTCCCTGGTCTGAGGCCCCACTGTCAGAGCTGGAACCATGAGGTGGAGGCAGGGTCCTGTCCAAGGTCACATGACAAGCTAGGGTCAGAGGTGGTGACAGGCCAGTCACTGGATTCTTCCCACCTCATCAGGCTGGTGCTGGGCAGAAGGTGAATGCCAGCAGTCAGCTGGAGGACAGGGTGGGCTGGGGCCCCCTGTGCACCCTCGGAAATGACACGATCAAGAAAGACATGACCAGCATGGGAATCCCAGGAGCCCCTCAGGCCCATGAAGTTCTAGAAAATCAATCTGATACACACGAGCTTATAAAAGGTAGAATTTACAGAGCTAGCTTAAGAGAGAAAATGCACGTATTTAAAATATTTGGTGTGGTGGTTGAGGTACTGGACTTCCACATGGCCGACCACGATCTGAGTCCCAGACCTGGTGAATTACTTTCTCACTTTCTCTGTCTCTCTCTGGTGAGCATTATGTGCCCTATAGCAAATGAAAAGTAATAATAATACAATTAAATAAATAATTCTTTTTTTTTTTCTTTGGGAGAAATTTTCACTGTAGGGCACGTGCGCTCGCCAGACAGAGAGAGAGAGACATAGAGACAGAAAGTGAGAAATCACCCCCCAGGGGGGATGGTCACGCCGCAATCCCTTCTCCTCCATTCTCCTCTCGGGATCTTGGGCACACATGCACACGCGCCTGGCGTGAGTTTTAAGCCACCGGGTCCGGGACACAAACCGCGGTCGACTACGTGGGAGTCCAGCAACATAGCCATTACGCTAACTGCTGGTTCCCAATAAATCATTCTTAAAAAGTAAAATAAAATATTAGGTGTGTGCCATCCAGCGCCATGGTGTGGTGGTAAAGCACTGTACAGAGGAAGCCAGTTCTCACGTGATAACCAGGGTTTGAGTCCTGTCCCTGGTGGCTTGAAAAACATGCTGGGCATGCACATACATGTCAGGATGGAGAATTGGAGGAAAAAGGATTGAAGCAAGCCCAGGCCCTGTTGGGGGTTGGATTTTGTTATCTACAGCGCTGGGCTCCGTACAATCACCTAGAACACCGAATTCGAGAATGCTGGACCGCCGCTCGTAGTCGATATACAGGTAAGTTCCTACAAGCTTCTGCCCACACTGATCAACTGACCAGTAACATAATCTTATTTTTTAGTTTTTTTTGCCATAGGATGCATGCACTCACCTGAGAGACATGGGGTGAGGGAGAGTGAGAAATCACCCCCCAGGGGGGATGGCCATGCCGCAATCCCTTTTCCTCCATTCTCCTCTCAGGATCTTGGGCATGCACGCACACACACCCAGCGTGAGTTTTAAGCCACCGGGTCTGGGACGCTAACTGTGGCCAACTACGTGGGAATCCAGCGACATAGCCATTATGCTAATTGCTGGTCCCAACAACCAGCAAGATTTTCAAGCTGCTGGGTCCAGGATTTAAGCCACTGTAGACCAAGTGGGAGCCCAGTGCCTTAACCACCATGCCACCTGCTGGCCTCAGTATCATAACTATTTGTGAAAACGCATGTCGGTTTGAGGATACCTTATTTAATATCTAGTATTGATCCATTAACATCAAACACATGGCCAGCAGACTCAGGTCATGCCTGAACCGAGCGTATCTAACACGAGTACTTTCTCCTGAGCCACATCAGAGCTCTCCTGCGTTAGAAACACTAGACAACTCGTCCACGCTGCACTGAGGGGCCACTTTATTTTACAAGTTTGTTTCTTCCATGAGAAAGAGAGGCAGAGACAGAGAGACAGGCACCAACGCAGTCTTTCACAGCCAGATCGTGTGCACGTGTGGCCAGGGTGCTCAGGGAGGTCCCCAGATGCAAACCCAGGCCCTTTCCCGCATGTGCTTGGCTGTTTCCACTGTGCCACCACCTGGCCCTCTGGGGGTCATTTGAAAGAGTGAAATCACTAAAAAGCACAAAAACATGAAAATATGACACCACATGAACCATGACAAGGCTATCTGTTTGCAGTGCAAGACAAAATAAGAAGGCAGCCCGCAGCCTTAGGCAGGGACACACACGCTGCACAGGTGCAATTTTTCACCTCTTTGCGTATGTCTGTGAATGACTACAAAAGCACAAGGGTATTTTTTTTTTTAAGGTTTTTGCCATAAGGTGCATGTGTTTGTCAGAGAAAGCGAGAGAGAGAGAAAGAGAGAAACAGCGAGAAAGTGAGATATCAACTCCTGGGGGATCGCCACACCAGAATCCTTTCTCCTCTAGGGATGTTGAGCACGCACACACGCACACACGCACGCACATGCACCCAGTGTGATTTTCAAGCCACCCGGCTGGGACTCGAACCATGGTCGGCCATGTGGGAGTCCAGTGCCTTAACCATTCTGCCACTTGTTGGCCCCAGTGTAAGAGTACTGATTTGAGAATTACTAATACACTTCAGAGAGTGGGTGTATCTACATATGTGGAGCTCTCAGATGAGGCTGCACAGTAGGCAGGTATGCACACAGGCTCCTGCGCACGCACTTAGGGAAGGGCAGGAAGGGTAGCCCTTAAAAATTAATCTTGGCTACTTCTAGGTAGAACAGCTACTGGTATTTTTTTAATTTGCCAGAAGGTGATGCACTCATTGGAGAGAGAGAGAGAGAGAAAGAGAGAGAAAGCACTCCCCACCGAGTGTGATCAGGCCGCAATCCCGTCTCTGCCTCTCCCTCCTTTTGGGATGCTGGGTGCATGCATGCGTGCACACTTGCATATTTTTCAAGTTGTCAGTTGTCCATGGGATTCAGCTGCCTTAACTACCATGCTACCGATTGGCCCTAGTATTTTCTTCTTTATACACCTTTTTTTTTTTTTCTGGAAGTTTCCCCAAAGTCAGTTATGATAAGGAAATGTTTTACAGAGGGGAGGAACCAAGGCTCACACAGCAGGCTGAATAAGGAATCAAGTTTGACGCATGAGCCCCCTCTGTGAACAACCTGACTGAAGCTTCTCTCGCAATGTAGCCTTGTCCATGTGCACTTTCAGCTCTCCAGGGAGGTCTGTCTGGAGGCCAGGCGCCCCTTACCTCTGGTTTGTGGGCTTTGTCTTGCTGGTGGATGCCGTTTGTGGAGCCTGAATTGCTGATGGTCTGTAGGGAGCACAGGAAAAGCTAAGCAAGGTGCATCAGGTGGCAGTTCCTAGTTCGCCCACTAGAGGGCAGGGGCTTCCCGACAGGTACACCCTGATCTCCCAACCCAACCCCTTCAGTGTGGGACTCCCAGAACCCGAGAGCAGTCCTCTTGAAGCAAGGTTCATCTTCCCTTTGGTCTGAGCTCCTCCGGGTAGAGCCATGCACCCCTAGGCCTTGGACTCCTGGAGGGCAAGGCCGCCTCCCACCTCAGCGCTGGCTCCTGGCTATCCCACCTGGGGTCCCCTCCTGGCCAGGCAAGGGGCTCACCTGGGCCTTGTCGGAGCAGCTCCTCATGGCCTCCATGAGCTTCTCCACCTGCTGAGTCTGGTCCAGTGCGTCTCTCAGCGCATCCTCTGTGCTCATGAGCTGGTGCTGCAGCCGCAGGAGCTCAGGCGCCGAGGACGGGTCGATGAGGGAGTAGCGCCTCTGGTCCGACAGCGCCTTCTCCTTGTCCTGGGAGATGCAAGAACGTGAGCCAGTGTAGACACCTGCCTTTGCGGGCACATCGTGTGTATGCGGGGGGCTCACCCCTAGGCAGAATGTACTTTGGCCTCGCTCCGTCTCCAGGTGCTCAGCCTGGGCATCACCTGATGTCCCTCAGGCCTCCCTCCCTCCCAAGGGTCCCTGCTCTGAACCCTGGGGCTGTCAGATGCTCCACATTCTCATTTCTGGAAGTCTAGGATACCTTCCCCCACACACACCCTCACACTGTCACAGGACCCTTCCCGTTGTGTCTTCCCAACCTTTTTCTTTCTTTTTTTGCAAGGTTTTTGCTATAGGGCACGTGTACTCGCCAAAAAGACAGAGAGAGACAGAGAGAGACATAGAGACAGAAAGCGAGAAATCCCCCCCCCAGGGGGGATGGCCCCGCCACAATCCCTTCTCTTTCTCCTCCTCTCAGGATCTTGGGCATGCACGCACACGCGCCCGGCGTGAGTTTAAGCCACCAGGTCCAGGACTCAAACCGTGGACGGCTACATGGGAGTCCAGAGACATAGCCTTTACGCCATCTGCTGGTCCCCCTCCCAACCTTTTTAGGGCCACTCGCTACCATCGTGATGCCAGACGCATACCTGCCACGGGCTGCCAGCGTCCTCACGGACCCCATCTTTCAGGCACTGCCGGCCTTCCACCCCCTCAGACTCCAAGCAAACTTCCTCCCCAACCTGAGCCCTCCTCCCACATGTGGTCTCCGTCCACCCATGCTCTTCCCAGTTCTCCACCACAGTGCAGGGAGAGGCGGAGAGGCTGCCTTGTCAGCCCTGCGGCCTCCGTTCAGCACTGCCCACCTCCCATGTGGCTCTGGGAAATCTGGAGGGAAGCAACACCCCGTCTTCCCCAGCCTGGGGCCCTGTCTTCTCCTAAGTCACTCCCAGCCCACTGGGCCATGGGACCACAGAAGATGCTGGGGCCAAACCCTGGCTGGCCAGATGTGCCCAGATTTGAGGGCAGCAGAGCCCATGACCCGTCTCCTGTTGGTAAATGTGGCAGTGACCCTCCTATGTCCTAACTCCAAGGGCGGCCAAGAGCCTGCTCCCAGCAATGGGAGGGCCCTGGTTCTCCTTCCACCTCTTACCCAGTGTGGCTGAGCCCGGAGGCCAGGCAGGAGGGTGGGGAGGGGCTTTGGAATAGCTCCCTCGACTGGAGCCCCATCTTCCTGGAGCCTCCCCACCCATACCCAGGAAGGGAGGGGCCTAGGGATGGCCCTTACTGACCACAGTGGGGTGGCAGGGGATGGTTCCACCCTGAGCTGCCAGCATCACTGCTACCCCCACCCTCACTTCTGGGGACTCAGCTCAAAGCCTGAGTGGAGAAGAACCCCGGCATCCTGTCTCCCAGGGCTGGAGGAAACCTCCAGGTTCTAGTCTCCTTCCCGAGGCGGCGCGACTCCGCTGCAGGACGCTGAGCAAGGAGCCGCTCCCGTCTGGCTCATTACTTCCCTGCCTGGGGAGCTCCCTGCCTGCTGTGGCCCAGCCCACCTCTGGGCAGGTCAGATTGTCAGGGAGTTCTCCTTCGCACGGCCTCACGCAGCCAGCCAGCCTGCGAGAGGGGCTGCCACGTGGCCCACCTGCCTGTGGTCCCAGGGGATTTTAAATCTGCTCTGACTTGGCTGTCCTTGGGGTGACTCCAGGAGGTCACCAGCTTCCAGGGTCTGATTGCGGGGCACCCCTCCCCCACGTACCAGCCCGGTCAGCTTTTCCCGCAGGCCCCGGATATCGTCCTTCAGTTTCTGCTCCTTGATCCGCCACTCGGCCTTGTGCACCTCCCGGCTCAGGTCCCTCTCGGGCCCCGGGGAGTGGCGGTTGGCTTCCAGCAGCAGCACCCGCAGCTCGTTGAGGCTCCTGGCAGGAGAGTGGGGGGAGAGGACAGCTCATCAGTCCAGCCCCTCTGGCTCCCCAAAGTCACCGAGAACGGAGGGTGACCGCCCACGGGGACACCGACTATTACACAAAGCTTCTGTGCCACCACCAGGAGGGGCTGGGATTTGGGCATACGGTAGTCAACAGGCCTTGGTGTTTCTGAGAATGTTTCAGAAGTTCTTAAAATAGAGAATATATTTCATTAAAATGTTTATTTATTTTTAAAAGAATTCTTCATTTTATTTGTTGTTGTTATTATTCAACTTGAGCAGAGAGAGAGGAAGAGAGGGAGAGTGAGAAAGCGAGCTGCCATGTTCAGGACTCGAACCGTGGTCACCGGTGTGGGAGTCTAGCACCTGAGCCACCACGCCACCTGCTGGCCCCTAAAATATATATTTTTTAGAGAATTATTTAATTTAACTTTTATTTATTCATTTATTTATTTATTTTTTAAATTAGACCAGAGAGGGACAGAGCAAGAGTGAGAGAGAGAGAAAGTGAGAAAGCAAGCTGCCAGGTCTAGGACTCAAACTGTCGTCAGCCATGTGGGAGTCCAGCACCCTTAACTACTACGCCACCTGCCAGCCCCTCCTTAAATGTTTTTTAGAAAAACAAAACATTCACCTAAGAGATCTCATGTGACAAGGCATCTTAAATGCCTGATGTCAAATCATTTTTATTTCCAGTGTCATCTCTTACTCAACCAGCAGTAGCTGCCTGGGGTGTTGTGGTAAGAATGATTCTGAGACCTCACACAGGCACTGCAGAGAATAATGTAGTGATCGATTAGCTATGCCTACCACAGCACAGGATGGAGCACACACACCCTTCTAATGCATTTACTGCAGAGGAGGGGAAAACTCCCTTGCTACGTGAACACGGGGAGTTGACAACAAAGTGAAAGCTGTTGGCACTACCCCTTTTCCTTTCCTCTTCTTTCATACTACATGTGATGACTGGAGCTCCAGCAGCCACCTTGCAACCATGAGGAAGGAGGAAGGGGAACCACAGGGGTGTGCACTGATACTCTGAACCAATGCCAGCCACAGCTGCCTACCAGGAACAGGTAATCTTATTATGAGAGGAAAGGAAATCGCTACTAGTTTAATCTGTTTTAGCAAAAGCCTTCCTAGCTAATCTCCCCACTCCCATCCTAAGCATCACGGGGCATGGAGTCTGTTGAGGCCTACATCAATCCAGAAAGACTGCAAGGAAGAAGTGAAATGTGAGCTAAGCTTTGAAGAATGGAATGGATTTAGAGAAGACCGAAAGCAGCAGCATGAGTGATGAGAGACGGAAGACAACGAGCCTCCCCCAGCGGGGAGACAGGGCTGCAGCCAGGCTCTAAGAAAGAGGAAACGATGCTGAAGATGAGGGGGACATCCAAAGACAACTTAAAACCAGAAGCTCTGGTGAATCCTACCGCCACTCAGAGGCAGGGGACACCCCTGTGGCCAGGGGGATTCCTCGGAGAAGGTGAGACTAGGCTGAGCACTGAGAATACAGTATCCGCCATTTAGGACTGAAGCCCCAGAGAAGGGCCTGGCTGGTGTGGGCACGCTGGAGAAAGCTTGGATGCATCCATGGAGGGCAGAGAGTTCTGGAATATTCCCAAGCTGCCCCGCTGCAACTGCTGAATTCCTGGGCAGGGCCCCATTTCCTAGAGAGGTGCTGGGGTTTCTAGCCTAGAAACTCCCAATTTGTCTATCAGAGGTACAGAAGAGGGAGCAGAGGAGACAGCATTCCCTAGACAACATGCTCCAGCTTCCAAGAGAGTCCTTTAGCTCAGGGGTTGAAATGCAAATGCCTAGGGACCAGTAGTTAGCGTAATGGCTATGTTGCTAGACTCCCATGTAGTCGACCACAGTTCACATCCCAGACCCGGTGGCTTAAAACTCACGCCGGGCGCATGTGCGTGTGTGCCCAAGATCCTGAGAGGAGAATGGAGAAGGGATTGCGGCGTGGCCAATCCCCCCGGGGGATGATTTCTCACTTTCTGTCTGTCTGTCTGTCTCTGTCTGACTGGCAAGCGCACGCGCCCTACAGCAAAAACCTCTCTAAAAAAATGCAAATGCCTACAGGGCTGGCAAACCACAGTCACGCCTATAAGCAGATGAAAGGAAAATAATGAAGGGATGGAGGGTCCTGACCATCAGAAGGGGCTACCATGCTGGAAGTTGGCCCAGTGTTGTAAAATCTGCCTTCTGCTTTTTTCAAAATGCCTGAGGGCATGTGCTCACCAGAGAGACACAGAAACACAGCACCCCTCAGTGGGCTGTGGTCATGCTACGATCCCTTCTCTGTTTCTCCATCCTGTCAGGATTTGGGGCACGCACACACATGTGCCTGGTATGTGTTCCAAGCTTCTGGAGCTGGGATTCAAACTACAGTTAGTGACATGGAATCCAGCTCCCTTAACTGCTAGGCTACAGGGCAGGCCCAGATCTTCACATTTATGAAGGGAATCTGGAGAAGTCTGAATTTTATGTGGTATCTTCTAATTTTTTTTAAAAAAGTATTTTGCTTTAGGGTGCATGTACTTGCTGGAAAGAGAGACAGAGAAAGTGAAAGAGAGAGCTGGCAGGTGGCATGGTGGTTAAGGATGCTGGACTCCACATGGTCAACCATGGTTCACGTCTCAGACCTGGTGGTTTGACTTCTTACTTTCCCTCTCTCTCTCTGTCCCTCTCTGGTCAAATTAAAATAAATATATAAAGTTAAATAAAATAATTCTTTAAAAATAAAGAAAGGGAAAGGAAAAGAAACCACCACCCAGGGAGGATGGCCACATTGCAATCCCTTTTCCTCCATTCTTCTCCCAGGATCTTGAGCACATATGTATGATTTTTAAGCCGCTGGGTCCAGGACTTGAACCACAGTCAGCCATGTGGGAGTCCAGCGACATAACTGCTACACCATTTGCTGGTCTTCAAATGTATTTTTTAACACCAAAGGGTGGGAGAGAAAGAGAGAGGGACAGAGAGAGAGAAAGCACCCACCAAGGGGGGCCAGGCCACACTGCAATCCTTTTTTCCTCCATCCTTCCTTCCATCCTGTCAGGATTCTAGGTTAAGTGTGCACACAGTATAGTAGTCGCTGAGGCCAGGACTCGAACCTCAGTTGGCCAATGGGATTTGGCTTCTGCTGCACAGCACCTTACTACTGTACAAAAGGGCTGGTCTGCTCTTCTGATCTTTAAATGCTGGTCTCTTTTTTTTAAGCCTCTATGGATCACACAGACCATATCTACAGACTGAATCTAGCCAAGTGGTTTTCAATGTGTGGCCTAGGGAGCCCCCATGGGCCAAAATTATTTTCATCATAATAATATAACTATTCTTATTGTGATTTTTCTTGAGTGTACAATGGATTTTTCCTGGAGCTACATAACATACTAATATTTATCTGAAAAGGGTATTGAAATATTCCTTTCTTTTCCAACTACATATCTATGTACGGTCAGATTTTCATAATATCAGCAACCAAAATAACACACCGCAAAGACAGAATGCAGAAGAAGACATGAGAACCCAGCTGCCTTCAGTTAAGCCCAACATTCAAGGAATTTGCAAAAACCTGGAATACAATGCCACTCTTCTCATTAAATATTTTTTGTTTCGAAAAACAGTTGCTTTTTTTCAAAGGCATGATATTTATGCTACATGCAATTGGCTTATTATTTTTAAACAGACTAATAAATAGATTAAAAGTTGTTTTTATTTCCTAACTTGGTAAATATAGAATAAATACACAAAAGCTCTCTAGAGCTCCTTGATAAATTTTAAGAGTTTAAAGGGATCCCGGAGACCAAAAGTTCAGGAAGCACCCATCTTTCCTACAAGCTGTTTGGAGCGCCGTGCTGAGAAGGATTCTGAGGCCTCCTCTGGGCTTAGCAGGGCGGATGACGGCACTCACTGGTGATCTGGCCACCTGTCTCTGGGGTCCAAGCCCCCACTGTGGAAGGTGGAATGAGGGAGGCTCAGAGGGAGGACAGGCGGGGGGCGGGTCAGGCGCTGCTGACTCACCGCTCCTTCTGGAGCAGCTCCTGGCTGAGGAGGACCAGCTGGCCAGAGGCGTCGTGGGTCTTCCGGGACACGGCCTCCAGCTCTGCCTCCAGCCGCCCCTTCTCCTTCAGGAGGGCGTCCACCTTCTTCTCTCCCGACCTGCACTTGCTCTCCAGCGCTGCGGAGAGGAGGGACAGGGTTGGAGACATGTGGGGATTCATTCCACCGACGGCCACAGCCTGGGCAGGGCACTGGTTCTCCCAGGGGGACGATGGCGACACATCCCCGCTGTGTGGGTCTCTGGGCCCTTAAGAGGCAGGCGACGAGGGGCCTGGAGAACAGGTACTCACAGCAGCCCAGACCCCGGGGTGTGGGGAGCAGGCTACCCTGCCCAAGAGGGCGTGTGTGGACACTGCTGTCTGGACAAGGGAAAGCGACACCTTCGCCTTGGCCCCGGAGGAGCCAAGTGTGATGGGGTGGGGACCGTTTCCCAGGAGGGGGCCATCTCAGAGACACCACCACTGGCATTCTGGCAGACAAGAAGCAGGGCCAGTTTGCCACCAAACCCCAAGTTCCAGACCCTCCACTGCTCCTCCAGGTTCCTCTTTTGTCTTGCTCTCGGCCGTGGCCGGAGTCCTTGCCTCTCCCTACCCGGAAGTCAACCCTGGTACTTCTGGGAGCTGGGGCAGATGCACTGTATCAAAGGGGCCTGTGGGAGACTACAAAAGCCCCAGGAATAGAGAGAGAGAGCTGGGATAGACCTCCAGGGCACAGGACCCAGAGCTGGCCCCGGGCAGAGCGGCGCCCAGGAGCCCTATCACATTACAGAGTGTGTGTGCTTCACTAGGCGAGCCCGGGCTACATTGCCCTCGTCCGTCCAGGTGCCACCCCATGCCATGCTTGCTCGGCGTGCTGTACCTGCGTGCCCAGGAGAGCCCCTGCGGCTGCCCGGCGGGAGGGAGACTTACCACTTACTTGCGCCCTGAGCATCTCGGTCTGGGACGTCAAGGCTGTCACCTCCTTGTCCCTCTTGTTCAGCTTGTCCTGCAGGCCTGGGGGAGAAGGGAGAGGTGAGAAGCCATCAAGGCTCCAGGGCAAATGGGCATGGATGTGGCCCTCACACAGGACCCCTAAACGGTCACACTGGGTCCTCGAGGTCTAACTGTTCCTCGCGCCAGCTCACTCTATCTCTGACGGACAGGATCTGACGCTCTATGGCCTTGGGCAACTCCTCACAGCCTCAGTGTCCTCAAGCGGAAAGTGGGCACTATGGTGCCCGTCTCATGTGCGTTCCGTACCGGACGACTCATGCCGGTCACAGAGATGACAGCAGTGGGAAGTGCTTGGGGACACGTTACTTCCTGCAAGTTAATTTATGCACATAAAGTGACACCAACCAAGAACGGGACAGACAAGACCGCAGTTATTGTGGAACGGGATAGGCTGACTCTGTGGCACAGCAGTGATGCCCTGCTCTAGAGAAGCCAGATCCCACCTGGCGACCATGGTTCAGATCCCTCCTCTGCTCAGCCTGAAACATGCCAGTCACGGGCTGAGTGCCCACGGGCTGACGGGCGGGAGGACTGGAGAAGGGGAGGCGGCATGGCCAGACCCCGTGGAGGGTGCTCCTTTCTCACGTGCGTGGACTCCGAGACACACAGCCAACGGCCATTAGCGAGAAACGCTAAGTGCGGGATGGCGATGGGCTAATCCGCACGGGAGGGAGAAGGTCTCCGGGGACCGGAAACAAGGGAGAAGAGGACGGCCCAGAGGCACGGGGGGCTGGTACAGTGTGTGCCAGCCACTGGCCTGAGCGGGCCTCCAATGCCCTCGAAGGGGGCGTGAAATGTCCAACCTGTGCCTTCAGGGAGGGGACTCCGGGGACTCTTCCTTTATGCCTTTCGAACTACCTCAAGTTTAGACTGTTTTTCTGCATACGCAGTTATCTATGATAAGCTTTCATTTATAAATTGGGCACAGTAAGATATTAACACTAATAACACAAGAGAACCATTATACGATAATAGAAGTTACGTGAATGTGGTCCCTCCCTCACAAGTTCCTTCATCTGTTCCCTCTGTGACAGAGAGAGAGTTGCAGTCCACATCAGCTTCAGCGCACGCAGCCGGCATGCCCACAGAGGTCCTGGGATGCGAACCCATGCAGGTATGACCGTGTTACTGCTGCACTACTAGCTGGCTCCGTGCTACTGTATTTACTTTTAGAAAGAAAATTTACACTGAAGAAGGGACTTCAGGAACCAGCAGATGGCATAATGGCTACATCACTGGACTCCGACATGGCCAACCTGTGGAGTTCCGGACCCAGTGGCTTGAAATTCATGCTGAGCACGTGTGCGTGCATGCCAAAAATCCCGAGAGGAGAATGGAGGTAACGGGACTGTGGCGTGGCCATCCCCCTAAGGGGTGATTTCTCATTTTCTGTCTCTCTGTCTCTCTCTGTCTCACTGGTGAGTGCACGCGCCCTATAGCAAAATCTCTCTTAAAAAAAAAAAAAAAAAGAAAAAAGGGGCTCCAATGTTTATGGAAAAATAGAGTTAAAGTCCAAGTTTATTTTGGTGCAAAAATTTTGAAAACCATGCCTGGTTTCTTCATGCTGCGCCTTTCTGAAGACCCTCGTGCCTGGCTCCCCATAAATCTGCCCTCCTTACTCAGAGGAGCAATCGGCTCACTGCACCCTAGGCGACTCTCCCCAGATGACAGATGATGGAAAACAACGTGGCTCAGCTCAAAGGCAGAACCAGCAAGACTCTCCCCAGTGCCCAGGGACCCATCGGGCCCAGCGGCCACTCACCCTCCAGCGTCTCCTTCATCCTGATCTTCTCCTCAGAAATGTCGTTCGACTCGATCATCTGAAAGAAGCAGCCCTGTAAGGGGGACACTCGCCTGCCCTAGCCCCAGGCAGCCCAGCAAAAGCTCCTGCAGTTTGCATAGCTCACTCCTAGGAAGGGGGCCTGAGCAACAGACTCAGGGACTCGCCTGGCAGGGAGTGAGTGCAGACGTCCTCGACTGACCTCCCTGACAACAGAGGATCCCCTCTGCTCCCAGCCCCTCATCTCCAGGACACCACCCACCCCTCCTTTGTTGAAATCTTTTACTGTACTAAACAGATGTCTCCTTCCCTGGGTGCACAGGGAGATGTGGCCTGGGAACCTGTTCCCGTCACCTCGGAGACTCCCAGCCTCGGTTCCCCATCCATCAAACAAGTACCGACTGCCATGGGGCAACACGTACACAGCACACCGGCACACCGTGGCCAACTCCTGGGCAACTCCAAGAAGTCCCAGTTCTTTTCTAACACTTGTTTTTTAACAATAAGCCCAGAAGCCAAAGACAAGACTTATTTAAAAGAAAAACAATCGGCAAACATCACCATGAGAAAAATCAAAAGATGACATCACACTCCCCCTGCTTCCTGGCGGAAGTTCCCAGCGTCCTGCCTGACCTTGCTGTCCTGAGCCTGCAGTGTGCGAGTCTAACACTGCAGACTGGGGAGCACATGGCTGGACCAGCAGTCACCTCCCTCCTCCTGCCCCTCCTACTTCTGCTCATGCGTCCCGAGCCCCACTGACTCGCAATTGTGATCAAGTCCCCTTAATCTTCGCACACACTGCAGAGAAGGCGCATAATAAAGAAATGTTAAAAATAAAATCGGTAACTTCCCGTACCTACTACATGAGACCAAAAATCCAGTCGTTCCTGGACTTACTCTGCACGTGGGGGACAGAGGAGCCCAGACTCATTGCCCAAATGCAAATTCTGACTTGAATGAATATGAGTGAACGAGGTCAGGGACACCCAGGCACTCTGTGCAAGGGCGAGGCATGCAGCCAGCCCTCTTTTGTGTGGGGTGCTGCTTTTTGTAACCCTGAGCACCCCACTGGCCCCGCAGGCAGTGGGTTGGGTTCCTCTGCCACCATCAGGCGTGGGACCTGGGATGTTGACCCCAGCCCAGACTCTTGGTTTCTCACCTATGACCTGGAGCCAGCACTGACCTCGAGGGGGTGAAAGTGAAACGGAGCAGTGGAGGGCGCACAGATCTGGCGCCCAGAGCCACTCAAACGCCCCTCCTGGCCCCGCTGGAGCCGACACAGCCCACGCTACCTGGGCGCTGCCGCCTCAGGGGCTGAGGGGGACTCAGCTGAACGAAGAGTGGCTAGGTGTCCGAAGCACGTGCGATGTGGAACAGACCTGTTTTCAGTGGCAGCGTCCTCTCAAGGGCCACCCCCCTTACCTTCCAAGACCCCACTCAGGGACCCCTGTACCCAGGGAAGTGGCCATCCCCCTGAGACTTGTAGAGTCTCATCAGGCCTGGCAGGAAGGAGGCCGCCCTGTCCCCCAGGGCAGCGCTGAGCTAGGGATGGGAGCACCCAGGGATGGGCGAGGACAAGGGGGCAGTGCCTGAGGTCCCAGGGATTGGCACGGAGGGACGTCTTGGGAGGGACCACAAGCCTGCACAACGGGACACGTCTGGGTGAACCAGGGACTGCGGGGCTGGGGGAGAGCTGCCCTCTGCCTTGAGCTGTGCACCTCTCCACACCAGCTCTGTGGGGCCCAGCCAGGTCAGCTCAGACCACCTTGGACTGCTGTGGTCACCTGCCCTTGTGAGAGGGACGATGGGCTCCTCCTTAGCCAAGTGCCCCCCAGCTGCCCCCAGATATGCTCCTAGGGGCAAAGAGAATATTTCCCAGCCTGGAAACACAGGCCAGTGAACACCAGGGTCCCCTCCGCAGCTGGGCCCTCAGGCCTGCCCGGCCCCATCTAGGCCCTGCCCCAGCCCACAGGAGGGGCAGCCGCCTACATGGCTGTGCTGGGACGAGCACAGGGACTCGACGGCCTGGAGTCTGTTTTCAGCAACCAGGAGCTTCTCCCGCAGCCTCTCAGCCTCCTGCTTGCTCTGGGCTTCAGCCCGCTGCAGCAGCTCGTAGTCCAGCATCTTCTTCTCGGCCAGCGAGATCTGTTCCTTGAGGAACTCGATGGCCTGCGCCTGGCCCCGGTACTCCACGTCCAGCTTCTCCAGCTCGTGCACGCGCAGCTCGGCGTCACGGCACTGGTCCTGGGCCTCCTGCAGCTCCAGCCGGTGCTGGCTGGGCCCGGGCCCCCCGCGCGGCCCGGGCCCCCCCGGTGCTGCCGCAGCTCGGCCAGCTCCTCCTGGGCCTCCTGCAGCTTCTGCCGCAGGCCCTCCTTCTCCTTCACGTGCACAGCCGTCTCCAGGTCGTGCTTGGCCCTCAGGTTGCCCAGCTCCAGCTGGTGCTCCATCTTGATGCCCTCCATCACGGCCTTTAGCTCTCCGATCTCCTTCTGCTGGGCGCCCGGGCCTGAGTTCAGGGTGGCCTTGAGGTCTTCCAGAGACTTCTGGTGGTCCGAGGCCAGCGAGTCCAGCTTGGACTTCCAGTTGTCCATGAGCCCCATGTTCTCGCTGGTGGCTTGCTGGACCTTGTCCTTGAGGTCGGCCACCTCCTGTGCGTATTTCTCGTTGGCCGCCCGCAGCTTCTCCACCTCGGCCTGGTACGCCTTCAGAGCCTTCTCGTACTTATCCCGCAGCAGCCCGCTCTCCCGCTGGTGCTCCTTGCTGGCGGACAGCAGCCGCTCCCGTAGCCGCAGAGTCTCGGCAGCCTCGGGGTGGTCTGGGGGCGGTGGGCCCGAGTGCAGCAAGCACTGCTGCAGCTCCTCGATCTCGCCGCGCCGAAGGGTCAGCTCCTCTTCCAGCTGGAGCACCCGCGACTTCTCGGCCACCGTGGTCAGCTACCAGGAGAGAGGGACACGGGTCAGTGGGCTGGCTGAGCATGATGGGGATGCACTGTTGGGGAGGGGTGGGGTCCTCACCACTCGAGGGCACCAGCCCCAGTGGAGTAGGTTGTGGGGAGGGAAGGAAGCCCACTCCCACCTGGCGCGGGCTGTATTCAGAGCTTCTGTCCCCAGGCTCCCCTGGCTTGTACTCAGTGACTCACGGAGCTCAGTGGCCCCACTGCTCTAGGTGCTTGGGACAAACTAGTGGTTAAGAGAAACCACCTGTTTGAGGTTACAGCTCTAACTTAATGTTATCTTCAAGAGCAGAGGCTGCACAGGGAACTCTGCATGATCCTGTTCTAGAAAATTCCCTAGCTGGAATGAGTTGATTCCCCGAGCATCTGCGACATGCTCCAATTTAAAGCCTAAAGCTGAATATAACGACTGTGGGACCAGCAGATGGGGTCACAGTTACGTCACTGGACTCCCATGTAGTCAACCGTGGTTTGGGCCCCAGACCTGGCAACTTGAAATTCATGCTGGGTGCATGCGCGTGCATGCCCAAGATCCCAAGAGAATGGAGAAGGGATTGCGGTACGGCCATCTCTCCTGGGGGTGATTTCTTGCTTTCTGTCTATCTGGTGAGCTAGCTGGAATGAGTTGATTCCCCGAGCATCTGCGACATGCTCCAATTTAAAGCCTAAAGCTGAATATAACGACTGTGGGACCAGCAGATGGGGTCACAGTTACGTCACTGGACTCCCATGTAGTCAACCGTGGTTTGGGCCCCAGACCTGGCAACTTGAAATTCATGCTGGGTGCATGCGCGTGCATGCCCAAGATCCCAAGAGAATGGAGAAGGGATTGCGGTACGGCCATCTCTCCTGGGGGTGATTTCTTGCTTTCTGTCTATCTGGTGAGTGCACACGCCCTATAGCAAAAATCTCTGAAACATTTTTAAAAAGAATGTAACGACTGCTTCCAGAGCCATCTTCCAATGAGACCCCTGAAATCAGGGCTCCATCCTCCCAAAACCCACCTTGAGCACGACAATGGGCATAGATTTGGAAACAGTGTATTTGTGAGTTCTAAATCTTTTGCAAGCTTAAAAACTTCTGGTTTTGCAGGTGTTGTTTAGTCAACAAACCTGTTTGTTTTTTACATCAGGCTGAACCCTAGAGCAAGATGCCTCCCTTGGAAGGCTCCACTGTCAACAGCAACTTGGTCAGTTTCTGCATACAGACTTCTCACATACGTGTGCTCCACAAGTACGTGTGGTCCAGCCAGTGTGTGCAAACAGACCCTTGAGTGTCTCCAGACACCTGCCCGCCAACACGGACCCCTTTGTGCACTGAGGTCGATGTGTATGTAGAAACTGACCACGCCCCCTCCATACCCACATGCTATTTATAGGGTGTCTTTCTCAAGCAGAGCTCACTGCCTGTTCAACTCTCTCACCAGAACTGATGTGGGCTGTCGCTCGGCTGGCCAGCTGGTTATCCTGTACCAGGTGGTGGCCCAAAGCATGCGTGGTGGACATGGAGGGGCCAGCTGGATTGGAGCACGGGGACTCAGAACCGTGCCCAGGGACTTGGGGACCTCACCACAAGCAAAGCTGGCCTATGGCTCCTGACTCACCCCCAAACTCTGGGGCTGAACTCCTGAGAATGCCTCCTGCCCCAAAAGTCTCAACACTTCCCCAGTCCCAGGTCTTCCAGTCTGGCCCCTCCTGCCACCATTAAGAACCCTTGGGCTAGAGAAAGCTGAGTCTACAGCTCCTGTCCTGCAGCTAGGGAGACAGGAGGTAAGGGTGCCCCGTGCCTACCCACATGAAGGGTAGAACTCTCCCTGCTTTCTGAATGTGGCAGGTCTTGTCGTGGCAATGCCTGGGAGAGGCGGAAGGTGAGACTGTCTCACAGGACCTTCTCAGCTAATGAGGCCAGAGCTGGGGATCAAAGTCACAGGGAACAGACCCCACTCCTCCCCCAAATAAGCAGCACTTGGCATGGAACATAAGCACGTTTCTCAATCTTCACCTCCCTCCTAGAAAAGGGAGCAAAAGAAAATAACAATGATGACAGTAGTCAAAGGCAGAATAAATAATAAAACAGAGAAGCCAAAGGGGGTGTCGACGGGCAAAGGGGGCCGAGGCGCTGGCTGGGCGGGCGGCGGCGCGCGTTACCCTGTTGTCC